ACACTTCCCACCTCAACCCCATAACCCAGCCCTGCAGCCTTGGCCCCGTCTACTCCCCCTGCACACACACACACACACACACACACACACACACACACACACATACCACTTAGCAACTATGAACATATTTAATAAGAAGGTTAGAAAGGACTTGAGGAAGTGGAGATTGGGGTCGCTGAGCAGTCTGGGGAAGGAAGCTTGCTCAGCCTTCCTGGAGGCTCAGCTCCTCGTTGTCCCCTTCAGATGGTGGAGTCATTGGCTGATGCCATGTCATGCAGCTGGTGGCGGAAGGAGAGTCGGGCTTTCCTGCTGAAGTAGGCACCAGGCCCTGGCGAGGGTACCCCTCCCTCAGCCATGATGGGGGCGATAGCTGGGCTGGGGTCTGGAGGGGTAGCAGGACCCATGCCTATAAGATTGGAGGAGGAAGAAGGAAGTTGTAGGTCAGGATTCCTTCTCCCTCACCCCTCACCCAGGGTTGAGGAGAGAAGAAGCGAGGGAAGACACCTGGGGCCTGGGGGCAGTGAGGAGCACTGGTGGCAGCAGTAGGGAGAGGGAGAGGGGCTGGTGCAAAGTAAGCAGGGCTGGCTCACATGAATGTCATCTGTGCATTGCATAGGATCCCCTGACTCAGAAGGTCCACCATGTCACCATCTCAAAATTTTGAAATTCTTTTTTTTTGAGATGGAATTTTGCTCTTGTTGCTCAAGCTGGAGTGCAGTGGCGCAATCTTGGCTCACTGCAACCTCTGCCTCCCAGGTTCAAGTGATTCTCCTGCCTCAGCCTCCTGAGTAGCTGGGATTACAGGTGCACACCACCAAGACCCCCTAATTTTTTTGTATTTTTAGTAGAAATGGGGTTTCATCATGTTAGCCAGGCTGGTCCCAAACTCCTGACCTCATTGATCCACCTGCCTTGCCCTCCCAAAGCGCTGGGATTACAGGCCTGAGCCACCGCACCTGGCCGAAATTCTTAAATCTTTAACAAGCACTGGGCCCTACAAAGTATTTAGCCAGTCTTGTGAGACTTCAGTGATCCAATTCCCACCCAGGGAGACAGATGATCGTTTTCCCTTTGGTTGTTTGAGCATTTCTCTTTCCCAGCAATGCAGTTGTCTGTCTGTCTGCTTGACAGCCCCCATTTTCCTTCAGTCCACCCCATACCTGCTTCTCTTTCAGTCCCTCGCTGTCTCCGGCACCCGCACCATGGGAAACACCATGCCCCCTTCAGACCCATCTCAACAGTGGAGGCGATCAGAGCTGGGAATGGCCAGAGCGGGGAAAGGGGTGTGGTTTCCAAGCACCCCCACCATGGGCAAAACTACCACTTAGCCTCAACCGCCTGGTGATTATAAGGCGCCAAGGATAGAAGAGGGGAGAGGAGGGAGGAAGAAAGGAGTGGGGGCATACTCCCACCAAACACCTATTTTTATGCTCCATTAATTTGGGGGTCCTCTCTGATTCCCATGGAGAAGCAGGAGGTGGTTGCGAGAGGTGGCACGACAGGGACGGACGCAGAGGTGCTATGACAGATGCAGTAAAATTTCACTGCCGCAGTGCCCGACAACTTGGTGCCAGGTTGGACACTGCTGGGGATTCGTTTGTATTTTAGAATGAGAATTGAAGTGCCTAAGATGTAAACTTTTAAAGAATACACTGTTTTTAGAATGAGAAACTTTATTATCCAGGGAAATGTTATGTTCTCATTAAAGGGTCTGACAGTTCCTGTCCCCTGTTATGAAGATGGTTGTAATTGATTAATTATGCTGTCAGGTAAATTCTAGGGACTTTTACATGTTATCTCTTTTCACTTAATCATGTCAAAGATCTTTGGAGGTAAGTCCCTCACTGGTTAGGCAAGTCTATCCTGGTTTTACAAATGAGGAACGGGAGGCATTGAGAGGTAAGGTAATTTGTCCAAGGTCACACAGGCAGTTATTAGCAGAATAGAAACCATGCCCACCTTGAAATCCTCACCTTGAGTCCATCTGACCCCAGAATCTACTCTTTAATTTTTTATTTTTTTTATTTTTTTTGAGACAGAGTCTCACTTTGTCGCCAGGCACCAGGCTGGAGTGCAGTGGCACAATCTCAGCTCACTGCAACCTCCGCCTCCCGGGTTCAAGCAATTCTCATGCCTCAGCCTCCCAAGTAGCTGGAACTACAGGCACATGCCACCACACCCAGCTAATTTTTGTATTTTTAGTAGAGACAGGGTTTCACTACCTTGGCCAGGATGGTCTCGATCTCTTCACCTCGTGATCCACCCGCCTCGGCCTCCCAAAGTGCTGGGATTACAGGCTTGAGCCACCAAGCCCAGCTTTTCTTTTGAGACGGAGTTGCCCAGGCTGGAGTGCAGTGGTGCAATCTCATCTCGCTGCAACCTCAGCCTCCTGGGCTCAATTGATTCTCCTGCCTCAGCTTCCTGAGTAGCTAGGATTATAGGCACCTGCCACCATGCCCAGCCATATTTTCTATTTTTAGTAGAGATGGGATTTCACCATATTGGCCAGGCTGGTCTCGAACTCCTAACCTCAAGTGATCCGCCCACCTCAGCCTCCCAAAGTGCCGGGATTACAGGCATCAGCCACACACCCAGCCCAGAATCTACTCTTTTAACCACCACACTGAGCTTCTGAAGCATGCTCCCAAGTATCGATGCCCTCAGCCAGCTTGGGGTGGCCAGAGCTGAGGTTGGAAACCTCTAGTCCAGAGCACCCTAGCCAAGGACTCTGAGTGCCCTTAAGTAAAGCTGTGCAAATGCTGTTTAATCATTCCCCAAGGGTACCACAATGTGGGAAATGTCAGGTTGCACGGTTGATTACACAGTACTGCCTGAGTTAGACAGAAATCTTTTTATTTCAATGAACTTTATTGAAGCAAAATGTATATACAATTTAATGCAGACTCATAGAACATACAGTTCTATGAGTATTATCAAATGTATGCTCCCATGCAATCACCACTCCTATCAAAATATAGGACATTCTCATCATCCAGGAATATTCCCTCACGTGTCCCCTTACAGGCAATCTTTTCTCTACACCCTGCCACAGGCAACTACTGATCTGATTTCCATCACTATAGATTGTTTTTCCCTGTTTTAGAAGTTTATGACCAAGTGTGGGGTGGCTCATGCCTGTAATCCCAGCACTTTGAGAGGCCAAGGAGGGCGGATCATCTGAGGTCAGGAGTTTGAGACCGGACTGGCCAACATGGTGAAACCCCATCTCTACTAAAAATACAAAAAATTAGCCAGGTGTGGTGGCGGGCATTTGTAATCTCAGCTACTTGGGAGGCTGAGGCAGGAGAATTGCTTGAACCTGAGAGGCGAAGGTTGCAGTGAGCCCAGATCATGCCGTTGCACTCCAGCCTGGGCAACAAGAGGGAGACTCAAAAAAAAAAAAAAAGTTTATATAGGTTAGGCACTGTGGCTCACACCTGTAATCCCAGCACTTTGGAAGGCCAAGGTAGGAGGTTACTTTGAGTCCAAGAGTTCAAGATCAGCCTGTACAACGTGGTGAGACCTTGTCCTACAAAAAATTTAAAAATTAGCTGGGCATGGTGGTATGTGTCTGCAGTCTCAGCTACTTGGGAGGCTGAGGCAGGATGATTGTTTCAGCCCGGGGAAATCTAGAGTGGAACAACCATTTCGAAAAAATCGCTTGGCAGTTTCTTGTAAGTTAAACATACACTTATATGATAGAACAACTCCACTCCCTACTTACCCCAGATAAATGAAAACTATCCACACACAGACTTAGAGGAATGTTTGCAGGAGCTTCATTTTTATTTGTTTATTTATTTGAGACGCTCTGTCACTCAGGCTGGAGTGCAGTGGTGCAATCTCGGCTCACTGCAACCTCCGCCTCCTGGGTTCATGCGATTCTCCTGCCTCAGCCTCCCAAGTAGGTGGGACTACAGGCGTGCGCCACCACGCCCAGCTAATTTTTGTATTTTTTAAGTAGAGACGGGGTTTCACTATGTTGGCCAGGCTGGTCTTGAACTCCTGACCTTGTGATCCGCCTGCTTTGGCTCCCAAAGTGCTGGGATTACAGCTGTGAGCCACCCCAGCCTGCAGGAGCTTTATTAACGGACAAAACTAGAAACCCATATGTCTATCAAAAGAAGAGACAAATAAATCTGCTTTTTAAAAAAGATTGAAATACTCGAAGAGATTTTGTTTCCCCCTAGACTGCCAATTCCAGCGAAGCAAGCTCCGTAACCATCTTACTACCTTACTCTCAGTGTCCGGCACGGAGTAAGCACGCAATAAATGTTTGGTGAATGAATGAAAGAATGTCCGCTCTCATACACTAACGGGTTTATAGCCACCGGCCCTCGGGCCTTTTACGCCCTCATTCCTTCCAGGTACAAATGCTATCCGGGCTAGGCCGAAGGTGGCACGCAGCGGGCCCGGGAGTGGGGCACCCACCGGCAGCTCCCGCAGCGGAGGCGCGTCCCCCGGGACCCAAACAGCGTTCGCGGCTGGAGGGTCCCGGGACTGGCACGGAGCGGAGGGATGCGCGCAGAGCGGTTCCTGGGAGGAGGCGACCGGGCACGCTGGGACTGACAGCGCGGGACGCCCCGACGCCGGGCAGCACTTGCCGGCCGCACCGAGGGGACCTTGCAGGCCCGCAGGGCACAGAGCAGCCCCAGAGCTCCCGGCGGCGCGCGGGGTGGCGGGGGCGGGACAGGACAGACGAGAATCCCGCGGAGGTGAGGCCGGGGGCCGTCCCGCCCCCAAGGGCAGGCCCTGAGTCCCGGCCCCGCCCCGGCCCGCTGGGGCGTGGGCTCCGGCTGCTACTCCGCTCTGCTCTCTTGGCTTCGGGAACCCGCGCGGGCGCAGGCTCCGACTGCCAGGGTGAGGGGGCCGTGAAGGGGCGCGCGGGGATGCCAGGCCCAGGAAATCGTGGGGGGAGGGAACAGGCTCGGGCTACGGGGCCTCCACACTCAGCTGCACACTCAGATTTCAGGGTTGCTCCCCGCCCTCGGCGGGGATCGTGTAACTTCCTCATTCCCGCCTGGACCCCCTGCCCGGCCCCCCTGGCCTGGCGTGAGCCCGGCAGCCCCGCGCTCTCTGGACCACCCGGGGCTGCTTCCCGGCACAGCTGCTGTGCAGCCCCAGGTCGGAGCCTTCCGGGCCTGGCTGGGTGTTCCCCGGGGCTCTGGTTACGGGATGGGGCGGGGGCTAGGGACTGGGACTGGGATTACGGAAGAGGGATTAAGGTAGGGGATGGGGCCCAGAAGGGGGTCGGTGGGGCGTTGCAAACTGGCCGGGCGTCGTCAGAGGGGCGGTCAGGAGTCCATGGGGGGAAGGGGAGGACCTGCAAGAGAGGGAGGGCTGCAAGAGTTAGGATGCGGGGGGCGGGTTCTGCAGGGCACCTTGCCTCCCTGAGGATTCCCCATATTCCTAGGATGACGGCGACCCCTGAGAGCCTCTTCCCCACTGGGGGCGACCTGGACTCCAGCCAGCTCCAGATGGAGTCCGATGAGGTGAACACTCTGAGAGAGGGAGAGGACCCAGGTACACAGGGAATATGGATGGCCTGCAGGGAGGAGAGGCGGGTCGGGGCCCGGGGGCTGGGGCCTACTGGGGTCTGCCCTCCTTGACTTCCTTTCCTCCCAGCCGACCGGATGCACCCGTTTCTGGCCATCTATGATCTTCAGCCTCTGAAAGTGCACCCCTTGGTGTTCGCAACTGGGGTCCCTGTCACAGCCCAGGTGGTGGGCACTGAAAGATATACCAGCGGATCCAAGGTGGCTAGACTGGCCCCAGGGAGGGGGAAAGGGAGGGCGGGTCAGGGTGGATCCAAGGTGGCTGGGCTGGCCCTAGGGAGGCCGGAAAGGGAAGGCTGGCCAGAGTAGGGAGGCAGGGACCCATGCAGGGAACATCCATTCAGTTTGTCACACCCCTAGGTGGGAACCTGTACTCTGTATTCTGTCCGCTTGACTCACGGCGACTTTACCTGGACAACCAAGAAGAAGTTCCGTCATTTTCAGGAGCTGCATCGGGACCTCCTGAGACATAAAGTCTTGATGAGTCTGCTCCCTCTGGCTCGGTGAGGGGGACCAAACTGCTTCCTGTGGAGGGCAGGTGCCCCCCACCCTCCTTTCTGTGTCTGCCCTCCTCCCCTGCCCCCGGGCCACAGCCTTTCCTCCCTGCAGTGGCTCTGGCCACTGGGCCACCTCTCCTGACCCCAGTTACCAGGAAACTTTTCCTGCTCAGCTTTCCTTGTCCATGGTTCTGTGCCAGCATCTCAGCTGGGCTGGATGCCCAAAATGTCCTTGGCAGCCTCACCCTTTTCTAGTCTCCATTCCCAGGATAGGGAGCCTTCCTTTTGCCAGCCTCTAGGCCTTTTTGTTTTTGACAAGGTGTCCTTCTGTCACCCAGGCTATAATTCAGTGGTATGATCTTGGCTCATTGCAACTTCCTGGGCTCAAGCGATCCTCCCACCTCAGCCTCCCGAGTCGCTGAGACCACAGCCACCACACCCAGCTAATTTTTGCATATTTTGTAGAAATGGGTTCTACTATGTTGCCCAGGCTAGTCTCAAATTCCTGAGCTCAAGTGATCCACCCACCTTGGCCTCCCCAAGCGCTGGGATTACAGGCATGAGCCACTGCCCCCGGCCACCTCCAGGCCTCTTCTTTTCCTCCAGGCCCCTGTCTCCAGTGTTTTCAAGAACCGGAGCACCCAGCCTTCCAGCTCATACCTGACCCTCATCTATCCTTTCCACAGTTTTGCCGTTGCCTATTCTCCAGGCCGAGAGGCAGCCAACAGAGAGATGCCCTCTCTACCCCGAGCAGGTCCTGAGGGCTCCACCAGACATGCAGCCAGCAAACAGGTGGGACCAGACACCAGGTCCTCCGGGAAGGCATCGGAGGTGCAAATGGCTCTGGTCCCATCTGTCTCTCTCTCTCTCTCTCTCTCATCCCCACTTCAGAAATACCTGGAGAATTACCTCAACCGCCTCTTGACCATGTCTTTCTATCGCAACTACCATGCCCTGGTAAGGTCCAGGGACTGATTTTAGATGTGGAGCAGGATAATCAGACCTGCAGTGGGAGAGAGCCAGGGACCCCAAGGTCTGAGGGGCTGACTGCCAGGTGTCTCCTCTGGGCTTTTGTTTTCCTCTACAGACAGAGTTCCTGGAAGTCAGTCAGCTGTCCTTTATCCCAGACCTGGGCTGCAAAGGACTGTGAGTGTCTGGCACCCTTCACCCAGCTATCCATAGACATCACTGTTAATTTCTCCCTGTCTGAGAATGGGGCAGGCCGTGCAAGGTGGGCTGGCGGTCTAGAGTCCTCATCTGCTAACTCTTCCTGATTGTCCCACAGGGAGGGGATGATCCGGAAGCGCTCAGGTGGCCACCGAGTTCCTGGCCTCACCTGCTGTGGCCGAGACCAAGTTTGTTATCGCTGGTCCAAGAGGTATGGGCTGTGGCCGAGCAGCTGGGCAGTAGGTAGTGGTGAGGAAGGAATTTGCAAGGGCAGAGAGGAACACAGGGAGCCCTTCCGCTCTAGGTGGCTGGTGGTGAAGGATTCCTTCCTGCTGTACATGTGCCTCGAGACGGGCGCCATCTCATTTGTTCAGCTCTTCGACCCTGGCTTTGAGGTGCAGGTGGGGAAACGGAGCACAGAGGCACGGTACGGCGTACGGATTGATACCTCCCACAGGTAAGGCCTCCCTGGTGTAAGAGACAGCTGGTGAGTGGTGAGCCAGCCCACAGCCCTGCCTGGACTTGAGTAAGAGATACCATAGGAGGCAGGGCGTGGTGGCTCACGCCTATAATCCCAGCACTTTGGCAGGCCGAGGCAGGCGAATTACAAGGTCACGAGTTCAAGACCAGCCTGGCCAATATGGTGAAACCCTGTCTTTACTAAAATACAAAAAATTAGCCGGGTGTGGTAGTGCACGCCTGTAGTCCCAGCTACTCAGGAGGCTGAGGCAAGGGAATCACCTGAACCCAAGAGGCAGAGGTTGCAGTGAGCCGAGATCGAGCAGCCACTACACTCCAGCCTGGGACACAGCGAGACTCTGTCTCAAAAAAAAAAAAAAAAAAAAGAGACCACAGGAGAGAGGAAGGGTTTTCCACCTCCCTGGATCCGGAAATAGTTTTGAATCAGGGAACTGGTCCAGCCAGATGCTTGGGACTGCTCCTAGCATCTGGGCCCAGAGAAAGGGGGTTGGTAGAAGCCTGGGAAAGGAACTGCTGACATAAAGAAAATTCCATTTGTTCATTTGTTCATTCTACAAACCTAAGTGCCTGGTACAATACTAGTTGCTGATACAATACTAGGATCCAAGCCGGGCGCGGTGGCTCAAGCCTGTAATCCCAGCACTTTGGGAGGCCGAGGCGGGTGGATCACGAGGTCAAGAGATCGAGACCATCCTGGTCAACAC